TAAATCGTGTAGTAGTTCTCATTCACGTCCAAGTATTTGCGTAAACGAACCAAGAGTAACTAACTCTATAGCCTATATATCGGAATTTTTGTATGTTAACGTGTTAAAGCTGTTGCAATGTTCCAGATATCAGTAGATTTTTTTTGTATGGCGCCATATAATTTCGATTAAAAATTTTTCATTCCTTATTACGACGGATTTTTATTTATAGACAGTATTTGAAAATTTCAGTTGTACGCCTAGAAATAAGATTGGCCGCAGTAAAAATGGATACTTATAAAAGTAGATTCCTTATATCTGAATTTATGTACCTTCAGGCCACTATCGCAATATTTAAGGAGGATGAAATGTAGTCTGTGATAGTGGGATAGAAGGAAAGGACTTTCGCTTTTGGATACGACGGGCGATGGAAATTCTAATGCGCAAGCGAGAGTTATTGGATCAGTTGGAGGACGCTTCACCGTACCTACATACTAACATACCGTGTACGCGTTCTACGTGAAGTTTCAATTTTTATTTACATCTGTATGATTGCTTATACAGGTACAAGAAATCATTGTTTCGTTGTATTTGCGTTAAGAAAAAACCAATACACCCAAAAATGATGTATTTACTCCCTAGCCGAACACAATACTGATAAAAATAAATGAAGCGCTTAATCATTGGGTTGACGAGCGTCTCCCAAACAACCGTTTGACACGCGATTGTGTTGATCTTGTAATATGAGACCAACAGACTTAGGTGACGTCAAAGTTGGCCCCGTCCACTAGTCATTTATTTCTATTGACCGCGTTCTTTGTGCGAGCGCTTTAAAGGTAATCGCTCGTTACGAGTTTCGTCACTGGAATAGGTCAAGGTTTCAATTTTGTCTCGTCAGCTGTTCCCGGGCGCCGCAACTACACTGGTTGGTTGTTTGCATTGTGATAAGCCTCTCATTGTTTGGTCCGCTTTGTTAGTTTACCCGTTCGGAACACTTTTCGCGACTAGGGTTGTCGCACGCGTGATAAGACTTTTGCATATAATTGTGTCTAATTCCGATAAAAAAAGCCTAAACTCGGGCTTGTTCTTGAAAACACTGGACTACTACTGACGCGCTAATTGTTCTTGAGGCCGTCGCGAGTCGGGGGGCGGGGGGCGAGATGCCTTCAGATAATAAATAACGGGAGTGCAACCATTGCGACCGCCACCCGTGCCCGTGGGTAGAGAGTGGAGGGTATCCGGGCGGGGAGCGACCATTTTAATGCCCCGACGCCCCAGACTTTATATTAAACATCCGACCTTGACACTGGCCCACATCGGCGACGGGACGGACACGCACACACGCGCGCCCCCGTCACGGAAAGAAAAGTTCATTCAGCGTTTGTCACTTGTCAGAGAGAGCTATAAATAATAAAGACACGTGCTCACCGGGAGCTAGGCGAATGCGGTGGGCGTTTAAACCTCCCCCCCCCCAAACGTTATCTCGTCGGCCGTCGCTTTCGATCGGAACGCTCGAAGTCGTTATCTCCGATCTGTGATACGAATTATTACTTTTCTATTGTCGTAAGCGTGTAATTATGAACGTAATTTGTTTCCATGTGTCTTTTTAATGGACATTGGTACATACTTGGCTGGAATGACTGGCTAAAAACACAAACTTTCATAGTGTCCTTCCCTTTTATAATTCACTACAGTGAATGTCATTCTTGTGGATTGATTATACAAACTGATCTGCGCTTAAATATTTGCGTAAGTTTTAAGTCTTAGTATAGTTTATTGTAAATCGCATCTGAAAAGTCAACCGGACAATTTTCACGAGGGAGGGTTACATTTATTACGCTTTAAATTACTTAGACACAATATGTCCTCGTTTCTTTTGTATTAATGTTATTTACATAAGTTAACGAAGATGGGATAATATCATTAGTGTGGACCCCACCTTGGTGGGTTAAGGGCAGGATGATGATGATGATTTTTGTTAGGAACCAACTTTTCTTGAACGATTTTTGCTCGGTTTACGTAAAAAATTTGGAACGAAAAATCAATATACTTGGTTATCAAAGCTGCATAATTATGAACGCATATTCCACCCTGTACCATTAACAACCTATGGGGAAACGAAATACGTAGTCTGGGGTTCCGCAATTAGATAATTTAGACTTGCTTCGCGCCACCAGAATGTGCGAGGCGCATCTTATGGTCGTAGTAATGATGCCTTTTATGTCGTCATCATGAGGCATTTCCTTTTTTAAATATACGATGAAATAGGAATCTTCACGATGACATGTATTTCGTGCAAAAAAACATACACTCGGTATGTTTGTGTGCAAATACGTACGTATGTGCCTATAAATAGATATGTTGTAATAAATATTCATTTAATTGGCATTTGATTCTGAGATGTAATCCTTGTATTTTTTACTTTTATAGCACAAAATAACTGAAGCTTATTATTATTAAAATATCTTAGGTTGTTTGATGATGACGCAAAGAAAGTTGGTCATTACTAATTTTTATTGTATTTACGCGAATTCTATACATTATAACATCATGATTTATATATAAACTCTTGCGGATTTTATTGCGTAGGTATTACTTTGATTTTAAATTCCCGACGTTCCAAACTCTTTACAGCTTTCATGGTCAAAGGACATCACGGGGGCCACCGTTTATACTACATTTGGCAAGAAATAATATTTCATTTACCGGAAAAACTCTTGCTCTCGTCACAGTGGCGGCAGGTATGCCAACCGAATCGAAAGTAAGTACACTCGACGGGCAAAAAGACAAGACGATTAGCGACCAAATTACACGCGCGATAAGATGTTTGGGTTATTGTTAGGGTGTTTTGCGAGACATACGGTTAATCGCGTCTGTCGTGGCATTTGTGTGCGGCAGCGTGGCGATGTGGGTCAGTGGCGAGATCGGAGGCAGGGTCGCGGCGCGGGCCCAACGGATTGCGCAATCGGGTATTGTCTTGAGAATTAAGGATGAAGACAAAGTGCAAAACAGACAGTGCTAACTATATGTTTTAATCTCGAAGTGTTGGTGTAGTGGTTTTTGGGTCTGAATATAAATTGGTTAATTATAGGGTACGAAGCCGGGTACCATAAATAAAATATATGAATACCTCCATCTCAGGTTCTTTCATGTTGCATAATAATGTACGCAAGTGATATTATTGACCCCCATTCATATTCTATCTAAATCTCTATCGATTTTATCGATAGAGATTTTGTTTCATATCTCGACCGTTGTTTTTATCACAACGGTTCCCGAGATAGATTTATATGCTCCAATATCATTATTGCTATTGCATCGTTACACAATACATTGTAACACCGGCAGATAGTCTAATCGAAGCGAAATAGCGAAATATTGTTCGTAATAAACGCCCCCGACGCAGCCTTCCAATCTTGCAGGTGTTCGGTGTCGCCACGAAACTGGTCGGGCATCCGGTCCGAGTGGCCGGAGCGCCCGACAGATGGCGCTACGGGGCCGCACCGGCGCTCGCCAGTGCGGCCGCCGAATGGCCGTCTAACTCAACATAATTCCGGCCGCCTAAATAGGAAAATTCCTAGCGCAAATCGGCCAATGTCGAATAAATTATAGGCGACGCTCTCTACTTCTAGCGTCGACGGCTCCCGCGATTTCCTAATCGCGACGAAGTCTGGAGACGACGGGTTGTCTAATTGCGCTACACGGGCCGCTTATATAACTAATGGCGGCATAATCGCAACCGGAGGAATGCGATCGTAAACACGCTCGCTAACCCACTAAAACATATTTCTTTTATTTTGCGCGCCGCCCGCTCCGCTGCCCACGGCGGTTCGACCGCCGCAGCCGCTAACAGAACTGGTTTCCATATCGAAAATTGACCATAATCCGAGTCGGCGTTTTATCCGTTTGCATATTTTTCTCTGCGGATTCTGCACAGCCCGAAAACATCTCGCCGTGGTGTCAATTCTAATTTCCACTCGGTGTTCTTATTCGTTAGTTTTTATTGTCGTATCTAGAATATGAAATCTCTATTTACGCTATTGACACAAATCACTGACCACACTGTCGTATGGAATCGTTTCGCGATTCTTGCGGGCGTTCGTTTGGGTCTTCGGCCTGGAGTCGATGGTATTTATGAGGTGAATGTTATCGGGGCGAAATGTTTCCCGCGATATCATCAGAATTCGGTTGCTCTCGCGCAGACCGTTGGGCGTCTTTTGTTCGGTGGCGCCGCACTGGCGCCGGGCTCCGTCAGGGCTGGCCTATTTTGATTTTTTGCCCCCTACCTCTCTCTCGCCCTGTTCCAACTCGTATTCCGGGTGCCGTTTTTTTCCCCTAATGTGCAGTATTGTTTTCCAACCGATTGTTGATAAAACCTGGCCCTAAATTCTCATTCGTCATGATCGCAAGCATTTCACGTGTCGTCAAGTTGTTTAAGATACATATATATATACAATAATATTTTGTTACGATCATTATAGTTAGGCTGTTGTTATTATATATTTAAAGTATTATATTAATCCGTCCACATTTACTGTACCAATGCGCATATACAATGATCCGCATTCCCAATTGGGCGTTACATTTCAGACCGCAACAGTAATGAGATGAATATCACAATAGCGCAATATACGTGACGGACGTTTGTGTACACAGCTCGATCAATAATGTCTAATTAATTGACTACGTGCTGGACAGCGTTACCACCTCAATTATGTAAGACATAATTGAGGTGGTATATGGATGGGTGGTGGATAGATGCGTGCGGGTTTGTTGACCTATAAATGCGTAAAGCTAACACCTCTCTTTATCATTTTTGTATTCTCCATCCTCTATATTATTTTATGCCGAAATAATACCGCGTCAATGGTTTTGTTTTCTATTTAAATATTTCCATGGATCTATTTTTCACAAGCTATTAATGTGTGTGCTGCGTGTAACGATAACAAAGCTCTGTCAGTTATTGAGCAACATCCGAGCGCTTCTCAACATTATAAGGGCAGCGAGTACTCGGTGAGCTACGAAACTGGGGGTCCGCGGCGCGGAGCACAAAATAGCAGCGCTGGTGCGTGCACGGGGCCCCCCGCTCGGGTCGCAGCCTGCCCGTCGCAATATTGTCGCGGTGAAATCGCTCGCTCGCTCGCTCGCTCGCACGACCGACCGAACTCCTCGCCTCGCCTGCGCCAGTCGGCGTGCGCCAAGTGAAACGCGCGCACCGCTAGCGCAATCGAAGCCGGCCTTCGTGCGCCTCTATCTAAACGCTCGCGCGCGATCGCCCTTAGTAGCGACCTATTGCCTACTCGCGCTGAAAGCACGTGTGCTGGTGTGCGTGCGTTAAGAGTGCGTGTACACATACCTACGTAAGTTTCCGACGCACCGCTTCCCCTTAATCGGCGTCTCTCCGTCACCAAACGCAAACATCCAAGACGGCCCTCGTCATTAGGCTGCCTGCGAACAAAGTAAGTATCGGCCGACGCGGGCGAATGCGAAATGGGACGAGTCTTATCTGCTGCGTTGCAGAGCGGGTCGGTCGGTGTGTGTGTGTGTGTGTGCGCGTGTGTGTGTGCGCGTGTGCGTGTGCCGTCGCCTATGTGCGCGTGATATCCGACCGCCACCAGCGCGCCCGTGCGCGTCTGTGTGCGACGGTGTGATTCTATTTTGCGACGGTGTGACAGTAGAGATGTTTGTTTTTATTATCATATGACCGGAGACTTCTGAAAATACATTTGTTGCACCGAGTTTTCTTGTACATTGAGACCATTAATTGTTCCCCCAATGCCATCGTATGGTTGGTTGTTGCCGCCCGCTGAGCTTTTTTCAGTTTTCATTTGGGATTATTAAAGTTTGTCGATTATATTCCAAACCCTCTGAAGTTTAATGTAGGTATTCGAAAAAGCGTACAATATCTAAATAATGAAACCGCTTACCTTCTGCAACTTGATTCACGCTTATAAAGTAGATTGTACCCTTTTTGTGTTAAAAATATTGAATCATAATAATTCATAAAACAAGATCTATTCCTATTGAAATAAGAAAAGAAGACGCGGGTATATTTTATTGCAGTAAAATTGAATATATGAAGACAAAACTCAAACAAATGGCAGTTGATAGTAAAGCGATATTTTTCTAAGTTTCGTTTTTATTTGCGTCGTAAAACCGTCCCACAAGATGTATCGGACAGTTTCGGTATCAAGATGTTCTGAAGTGATGTGCCCTTTTATTCGCTTGCTCCATACGTTGTGGTACATTTTCAAAGTATATTAATTATTATATTATATTATAATATTTTTCGAAATCAATTGTAATTTTTATTAACGATCAGTAATGTGGTGCGTAAGAAATCGTTATAACGTAGAAGAATTCTGGTAGGTCGGTAGTATTCATGTCTTATGACTTTCCTTATTCGGTTAGACACCTATAGACAGAGATAACTTAATTGTGCCAGACAGTTCAATGTAGCTAATACTACATTAAGTATATGAAAAGGAGGCTTAGTTGGATGTAATATGAGTTAGGATTCGAGTTTCATTCATGACTCTCGAATGCGCCTTATCTAAAATAACGGAGTTTTAATCTTAAACTGTTTAACAAATACATTTCAAGTAGACAAACACAAAAAAGCCATTGTGATAGCTACTAAACTTGCCTTCGAAAAGTAATTTCTCAGTTTTGCAGAGATTGGTTTGTAATTTAAATCTCGTTAAACAAGCTTATGTGTGTTCGTATGTATTACGTCTACGTCGTACTCAGTATTACGTCATTATATTTTAGATGGATATTCCAGATTCAAAGGTCAAATTAATATGGGACCACATGGGAGTTAAACCGAACAATGGAAAATCGGTCTTAAGATTTGAAAAACAACCTTTAAAAACGGATCATAAACGACAGTTCTGAGGAAACAAACATTAAAAAAAAAAACAACCTAATTGAGAACCACCTTTTTTGAATTCGGGTAAAAAGGACGATCTTACGTATAAAAAAAGGTTTAAGGTTTTACAATTTTGGTATAGTTAGAAAAAATGCACCACCCCCAGCTTTTTATTGCGAATATTTCATAGGCAACATTAAAATTTTCCATCTCGGTAGCGATGTTTTCGCATGGATTACACAAAACGTTTCTATCTTTCTAATGGAAATATTGCATTCTTGCCAAAATTTGGAACGAGCTTTCCTTTTTTTTTTTTAATTTTATATTTTACTCTTTTATTTGTTATTCGGACTTACTCTAGTATTTCACGTCATAGATATTTTTTTAGACCTGTAAAGATAGAAAAGTGTTTAATGAAAGGTTTAATATATGTCGACTTTAGCAGTTCAAAATTCGCAATACGAGCAGGCCACGCGTTGGATATTGTATAGCGCATTGTTTTGGTAGCGTATGCGCCGGTGATGTTTATACGCGTCACTGATTATTTAATGAGATCTCACGGTCTGCTCCCCTTAGGCCGAGAAGGTCCTAAGAGGCAACGGCGTGTCCCACATCGTTTCGCCTTTATTCGCACACACGTAAGGCACATACGACATACAATCCGACGCCGGCCGTATTATCGTGTGTTACGTGTATAGCTATTTAGGTGGGCTGTCATTATTTATGTTCCTCAAACAGTCTGCTCCGGTGGTGTGCGTTAAAATCGGAGCAGTCAGCTGATCGTGCGTGGCGACTGTGTGCGTATGTTTCATGCGATGGTTTGTTTGTGTGTGTGTGCGTTCTTCGGGAAACACCTTCCGCCGATGACGTATACGCGTTTCGTTTAATTGGACAGTCGCATTGTTCCCGCGTGTCTTGTGCTGCTGTTTTTTTTCTCTCCAACTCCAATATCTTCGGCGCGATCGAGCCGAATGATTATCGTTTCTGTTTTGGGTCGATATAGTTTGTGGCAATGTATGGGAACGTCTTTCTATTGTTTTATTATTCTGCTATACATGCACCCTCTCTTTGTCTGCTGTACTCTGATGTTGAAAATTATTCGAATTATTTGGCGAATTGTTTATTAAGTCAATTTTCAAAAGCGATTGAAACAGGATCAAATGTCTAATGTCGATAAATTAATAATAAAAGTGCTGTTAGCTATTTTTGCAATTAAAACGCAATGTTCGTTATAAATGAACATAAATCATAATGGAATGAATATATTGGTGTCAGGCAATAGGAATACCAATAAAACGCATGAGATGTTTTAGAACAGTTAACAGAATTGTCGAAATTATCTAGAGATAATAACAATAAAGGAGGATGAAATAAATGGACCACTTCAAAGTTGTTTGAGGGCTTTTATCAAGCGCTGACCTAATTTCTAGCTAACGATAATCGCTGCGCGAAGACATCTTTGTAGCTTATGTTTTTGCACTCATTTAACATTTACTTCTCACTTCTCTTTCCTCTAAAGTCTGATGCACTGCATCAGCACAGTATTGCATTAAGTAATCATAAAATGCGCAGACACAGATAAGACTTCATACCTAAGTACTCGCAATTTCAAGAAGGCTGTTCGGTTATATTATTATTTAAAAATTATAATATAGTAAAGTAAAATCAAAATAACAGCTTATGCAAATTTCACTGCTGGGCAACGGCCTCCTCTGAACAAATGATATCAGAGGCGGCAATTCACCTGTTATTAAGTGATAATAGACGCATGGACACCTGCAACACCCGCTGGGCTGCAGATGCGTAGCAACCTAAAAGGTTATGACCTAAAGGTTAACCTAAAATGAGCGCCGGTAACCTCTTTGAATATACAATAATAAGAAGTGCACGGCCGTTTGGTACGTAAGCAAATAAGCTCTATGTAAATATATATATGTAAGTTGATGTTATTGAAGTTTTCTAATGAGCGGCGGGCCCCGTCATACGAAGCGTCGAGCAAACATGTCGCCCGCCACAAAAACCCGACACCGGCCCATTAATCGTCATGTCGGGTAATCACCCGACACCGTAATTTCGCCGGCGACTCCGTCGGAGCGGGCGTTGATGCTGGGCAACATAGGCACCCGTCGCGGCGTCGCTGCTTGAGTCACGTGTGTTTCTTTATGTGAGAAAGTGGCAAACGAGCCGGCGGTTCACCTGATGTTAAGTGATAACCGCCGCCCATGGGCATATTCAACACCCGTAGGGTTGCAATTGCGTCGCACTCTATAAATTAAGTGGGCTTCGGCTACCTCACTCACCAGATGAAACGCAGAAGTGTAACACTTCTAATTTACGCCGGTCTTCTGTGAGGTCGTGGTACTAATCCGGACGGACCTGCCCATTCGTGCAACAGTGAACACTGTTGCGTGGTCTTGCCACAGTTTGTAAGCGCCTCGTACTCGTCACGATTACGACGTACGATGTCTCGCAAAATAATAAAACCTATTCGGTGCACGAAGAATGACCACCGCAGCGACGTAAAAGTTTATTGTACTAACTGTGTTGCTCCTTTCGTTAGAAGTTTCTGTGTTCGCCCACACGCACCCTACTTCCTTGTACAAATTGCAAATAGTACAAAATAATGAACTTATTTTGTACTATTTTCCGCCGCGCAACCGGTGCGGAATGGTATCAACGCAACGGCGACTTGCACAGCGATTGCAGACTCCCGACGATTCGCGAATATTTTAAAGACCTGACCTTGACGAGATTTAAACGGTTCTTCGATAGAGCCGAACATCATCCCAACCCTGGTGGTAAGCGCAGCAAATTGCCAACCCGACACAAACGCGACCGCCATCAAGCGTCGTCGGCGAAACGTCCGCGTCGACCCGATCGAGGAAGGGGACTTAGATACGTCTCACCCACCGTCGGTCGTCCCGCTGGATAACACTACACACACAGTTAGTGTAACAACCATCACATCAGTTCGCGAGACCAACACAACGCGTACACAAGGTACACCCGTGTACCAGTGCGGTTCTAACCGCTCCCAGCCACCGATTAGCTAATTGTACAGTCGGCCATCGGTGTTTCGGTCCGAAATGCGACCTCGATGGCCCCACAGCGGAGGGTCCAAACTCGTGGTTTCTGGCTAGCCCGAGTCTGTCAGTAACTGTTTTTTTTGCTTTCAGTCCCGAGACTCATCAGTTAATACAAGATACAAGAAGTTTCTGCGTACAAAGAAACCGACTGATTGATGTCATATCTATTTTAATTTGTACTCTATCTACCCCTCATAGAACATTTTAATTTACTCGGCATTCTTCCTATAATTGGCAGAGGTAAGCTCCAAGTACGTAATTGAGTAAGGCGTAGTAACGTAACATTTAAAACGATATCGAAATCTTGTTGCCTTCTGTTCAAATATCTGAAATTTATGTCAAAATATTTCTCACCTGATCTCAATGGCACGTGTGTAAATAGATATATAAGGTTTAGAAAAATTAAAACTTTCTTAAAAAAAAAACAATATATGCGCATAGTGTGTAAAATCGAGACTAGTACTATAGTATTCAATGACCCTTTATAGGGGAAAATTTCTAATTCAATTTACTCTTAAATGTGTTTCATTCATCAATTCATGGAGAAGACTGCTAAAAGATCCGTGGAAGCCGTCGTCGAAACTTGTGCCCGTCCCGGCCTCCACCCTTCAGTCAAAAATAAATAAACCGGGGTGGGGAGAGCATTCGACAACAATAATAATAATTCGTCCGGGGCCCGATCAGCTGTTTCCCCGACACCGACCCGAGTAACAGGTGGCCTATAAAGACATTCGATAAAGTGCGCCACTTATCTTTACGGAACCACCGTCCACAATAGTAGCGGCACCCACCCACGCCGTACCCGAGCAAGGCTTGTCTCGACGCCGCGATTTCTCGTTCTTCATTATTATTTAACATGCTACTTTTTTTGAAGATCTTTGGCAAACAAATTGGAATTTGTAACATTTAAAGTTTTCTTAAATGTTCCGTGAGTTATGTGGATTTTATCTTGATTCTCTATGGTTGTTTTAAATCGTAATAGGGGCCCGTATATCAAGTATATTGTTCGACATTTAATTTAAATCGGATGTTTCTATCTAAATAAGATGTTTGATCATGGATTTTTTAAGTAACGGCCTCCGGTTTGAATGACTTGCAGAGAAATGTTATAATATTTTTAATTTTTATTTAATTGTTTGTACTAGGTCTTATGCAACTGTGTTCCTGCGATGACTACAACATGGACTAGAATAATAAGCTTAAGTAGTGTTTAACGTCTTTGAAAATATATATATGTTAAAGGCTTAGCACTTGAGCGTGATGTGTCACACGTTACGCGCTATCGGCAACAACAGTTTGTAAACGCATCGATACCGCACTCTTCGGTAACTGGGTCGTGTCCCCGATTAGGTTCCCGCCCGTCCGTTCGTTCGCGTCGGAAGGTGAAATCCGCGAGAGTGCGGCGTTTCGATCTCGATGCCGACGGCCGGTGCGGCGGTGACGAGCGGACCGATTGCGTAACGCCGAACCGTTTACGTACGTACGTGTGCCCAGCGCACGTGCCCCGAGAACACTGCTAGCAAGCAACCTTGTGAATTATTTATTTACGAGGCGGAACATTTTCACACGCCGGTCGATGAACTCTCTCGACTGCCCCGCGACGATCTCCCGCCCGGCCCGCCTGCACTAACGACTCGGACGACTCGAGCGATTACTTGCCACCCATTCTTTTGGATCGCTTCTTGTTTCTTTTTTTCTTTTTGGCGCGAACGCGGAAGCGGGAAGTCCCCGGAGAACATCTATGCGAACGAGCACGATCGGTGACGTGTTTAGAATGTTGGGACAAGTGAATCGTATTCAATGTTGTTTGTAAAGCCGATGGGATGTGCCGCCAAAGGGATGTGTCAGATTCGAAGTACGGCCTATTGTGTCGTGTCTACCACCACGCGTATTTTTCAGTCCCTCCCGATTCCCTGTCAGCTGATGTGATGTGATAAAGCCTTCTTTATACCGTCGCTTTTTGTAGCCGAAACATTATTATTGTGTAAGCCTCTTGTCAAGTAAAATTTCGCAAGGTCGCAAGTCACAGTACTACAAAATCCGCTACTTTAAAGAGATCACAGGTACTGTCCTTAGTATTGTCAATGAGCTCTACGTCAGAGTTTAACCAATTTAAAAGGATTTTCTCTACGCATCGGACGCGACGATTTTTAGAACTCTACCTTCTATGTGAAAAAAAGCTTATGAATAAAAAGTAAATCTCATTTAAGTAAATTTTTATATTGATTGAATTTTAATTTATTCTTACCAAAGCCTTCATTCGATAGTCAATTCGTTCTAATTATTTCCTAGAATAATTCTTGAAAAACTAAATATCTAAACTGAAATCTAACTATTGACCGCAGTAAATAGCCTTTTATAGTTTTTGATGATTGTCTTGGCGTAAGTGCTAAGCGATAGACTTTGGTGCTGATCGAAAGCTCAGTACCACGAGTACCGAGGACTTGGTCCACGGTATCAATCGGGTGGTTAACCCGCGACAACTGTTTACATTACGCACGCATAATTGTATCGAATTAGTTCGTCGTCCTTTTTAAGTTGTATTTGTAGAGAACGATATTGTGTAAGACGAATACACAATACTGGTTTATCCTATTCTGAAGCAGCGGCAATTCTGTGTTTTTACTTAAAGCAATACAAAAAACAATCCGTTGCATCCTTACTAATATTATAAATGCGAAAGTTTGTATGTATGGATGATTGCTTGTTACTCTTTCACGCAAATGCTACTGAATGGATTTTAATGAAACTTTACAATAATATAGCTTTTACATCAGAATAAGACATAGGCTTTAATTTATATACATATTTTATGAATATCTGTCTTTCTGTCTGAATCTTATGCCTTCAGCCTATTCTACGCAGACGTAATCGCGGACGGCATCTAGTGTACAATATGATGTTATGTACCGTTCCCTACCGCATTACCAATGTTTGCTGAGCAGAAGCACTCATGAAGGTATTTGCGGTTGTGTATAGAGGAGCCCGGCGACCACCGCCGAGCTATTTATAGTGCGCTCTGGCCTGGAGCGTGGTTTACGTGCCACTGACCTAGCCCCACTGGTTGCGGCAGTCATCTGGATCAGCTCGATGTGCACACGCCTTCCCCGAGCCTGGTCCGACATTGCCTCCTTTTTACTCGACGACACAAATTACTGGTTGCATAAAATTACTAGTGTACGTTTATGAATAGCGCCTGTTAAAGTATCATGCCTATATATGTCCCACTGCTGGGCAAAGGTGTAACCTGTATAGAGCATTGGGGCATATAATCTACCAGGCTACGCCGTGATGTTTTTATTATTATTTCTCACGATTTTTTCCTTGCTCCATGAGCACTTGATAACTCAGCTCTTAAAACAGCAATTTTGGTACCGGCACCGGGATTTGAACTCGGGTTGGTCGAGTATACGGAATTAAAAGCGAGCTCCTGGACACTGCGCTATCGTGGTGTTTGTTCTCATTAAGAAATGTAGAGTCGAAAGATATTAAAGTTTCAGTTCACTTTTATAAAGGTTCATTATAATGCGTCTCTATGTTTTGCTTTTGTACACGCAATTATTTGATTTTCAGGAACAAACATAAAGAGACAAATTTGCCTTTAAATTTTTTTTTCAAAATTTGCTTTTTTTAGCTGTAGAAAAGAGTAAGCTATCGTTCTTAGAAACATCAGCCTTGGCAGCCATAATAATAACCATTGCGCAAAGCGACATCTTTGGCGGTGAGCGATGAGAGAATATAATTCTCCTGATAACAAGTACGATTGTAAGTATCACTTACTACGTACTGGAAACATCATCATCATGTTGAATCCATTGAAAGTTCCCTACCCTAAAGTGCTTTTAGGGAAATACTTATAGAATAAAGATGGCCCGTAAGTAACATTATCAATAGGTGAATTTAGTATCATGATATATTACTAACAATCATTTTTTCGATATAAAAATGATTATATCATATTAGTATAAATTTTGGCAGCAAGCAGACACCTAGTAGCACATAAAATTTATAAAAGGACTAAACAATTATTATAATAATTTAAGTTGAACATGCCTAATTAGGAATCGAATTTAAGTTTGCCCTGTGCCCAGCAACACACTTGTATTGAAAACAGATTATATATAGATTTTTTTCCTTGAAACCATTAACGATGTGATTTTCGCTTCGCTTTCGCTTAAAGTATACTGCTTAGACTTAGACACTTCGTCACATTTTACAGCACTGCAAAATGTGACGTTGTACAAGCAGTCAAATTGATCACTTATTGACGAAAACCATGTGAATTAAGTAATATTTTTAATAGCCCTATATATATTTCGGCCACTTACACAGAGTTTATATTAAGGATGAGTATAAGGGATTAAGTTGATCCCTGGACATGTCTTTTTGTTCTCACTGTGGAGTCTGATTAGTTCACTTGGTCGTGGCATTAAAACCGCCACTTTAAATTGAGAGCCTCTCGGCGCTGAAAAGTACACGCGCTCAATACAAGCCGAAGCGAGGATCACCATGAAGCCATTCCTTTTAGGGACACCCGCCCGCGCCGCTGTTTGTACCGGCGCTTTCAGAACTTTTCGATCTTTATTGATTGCTATTGTTGCCAGAAACCCTTAATTGAATAAAAACTAAAATATTTCATATAAAAGTAATTTACGGATTTAAATCGCGTTTATATTTTATTTTTGTTTTATAACGCATAAAGTTACGTTCATACAAAAGAAAATAGTAAGCACTATAAATTATTTGAAATTAATGGCGTTTTTGTGCACATGTTTGTTTTTGTTTATTATGCTTTTGTGCGATTTATCTTAAATATATCGTACGATAATGAAGATTGAAATTTTGAAAAAAAATTGAAAAAGAATTTGGAGTAGCAATATCATAAGTTTCGGCTTATATACCTATTGCTAGTTCTATTTTTTTATCGAAAATATAAAAAAAAATGTACTTAACAACAATGTCCCATTTCATGAGTATTGTCCTGGAAACCCTAAGCAAAACAGAGGCAGTCATGATACGAATGTAGTCTCTTGTTTGATATACATCAGATTTGGGCCAAGTGCAGTCGGTCGACGCATTTGTAACGCAACTAATACAACGACTTCGTGTGGCTGGTTTTATTAGCGGAATAAGCTCTTGCCACCGCCTTGTTTATATTGACACATCTTTTATTTTATACTTTGTAGTATACTTTTTACTTTTAAGATTCCTCTTCTTCTACATGGCATTAATCCCGGCTATTGCCAGGATATATAAATTTAAATATTATTACCCGATATATTTATTGGATAAGGCCACCCATATGTATGGTGGCCTTTGACATGTGTTCTGCATGTGATTATGTTTGTTTTATTTGCATGCAGATCATACAGTCTTCATTATGATTTCGATCACCGTCCAGATTAGCTTAAAATATTACTATTCAAAGTAAAGCTGAATAAAATTTTATTGGATTTATTAAAACCCTGAAATAAATCTAAGTGAATTGTAGAGTCTATTATGACGCGTACCTGGCAACGCATCTACTCAAACTCCATTTTTATTACATATGATACTTATTAAATTAAGATCTCAAAAGAATGTGTATGAAAAAAAAGATGAACCGACCGATTAGTAAAAATATTAAACGTTTCAAATATTCGCGGGCAAAACATTCTAAAGAAATTGCCGCGTTCCTAATATGCCACATCTTTTATTCAGCTTTAAAGTAAAAAGATATGTTTGCCGTGGAGAACAAACAGTACAGAAACAGAATGTAGATAGAGCCGAGCGGCCCGGCACGTCCCGACAGCTTCCAACAATAATAATTAATTGACTCGTCCGTTCGTTATCGTGCTTTTATATTGACGTTCCCGAGCGAGCGAGCGAGGCGCATTCGGAATGAAATTTCCATAAAAACTTTTGTGCTCCGGCGGACGTTGCGAGCGCACGTTAAAATCGTCGGGCAATAAAACAGCGGCCGGCGCGGCGAGGCGCGACGAGTCGCCGGCGGGTGCGAGAGGGACGCCGCTATGCGCCGCGCCGAGCGAGCCGGAGCGCGGCAAAAACATCGGCGCGGTTATCGCGCGCCCCCGGCCCGCACCGCACCCCGCCCCGCCCCGCATTAACCTCGTCGGCGGGGGTCGAGTCGCCCGCTGCCTCGTCTCGAGCGCCTTCGCTCGCTCTGTGAACGCGCCCGTTCTCTACTATAGTCGACGATAATATCGCGGCGCGCTGGTTTTAACGTCGAAAAAGCTCTCCACTCCGTGTGTTTACGCGTTCCGTTTGGCAGTTGGCCCTCGTCGATCGCCGTCGGCCCTCTGTTGTTTGCTCCTTCCGTCGTTTGTACCGTTCGACGCGCGTCGCGAACGAGCCGCGCTGACGATTGATTTACGAGCCGAGGACCCACTTCTTTTTGAAACGGTAAGTGTGCGCCGATCACTCGATTCTTCGGTATTGTGTTCGCAGAGAGCGTTTTGACGTGTAACGTCACTAGTCAATACAAATTTACAACTAGCCGAGCTTCGGTTCCGCAAGACGCGTTGGGGATCGTTTGAGCGGACTTTTGAATACACTAGACTCGTCGGGTAACATGTTTTGTTACGTTCAGCGGGAGCCTAGTGATGTTCCACTGTTGGTAACGGCGACGACCCTGCTCTATTGACACGGTATTATTCTCGGTTTGTGAGCGCTGAGGCCGCCACTACTGGCAGTGTCAAGGCGTCTCACCTAGATAATTATTTGTATACATACTAATTGCGTACGCGCTTTAACTTCTCTGCTGTTGCGGCCGAATGTGGCGGCGTATGGACTTATAATTTACACAAAAAAAAAACAAAATTGTGTACATCATCCGGAACTAGTTCTTGACGTTTTCTTTAAGTCACTTATTTTTATAATTACAAGTTTGTTTTCTAACTTTTATTGGTACCTCCACGTGGCGTAGTTAATAATACCTCACTGTCATTGCACTGAGATAATATTTTACTTATGATTCATATTGTGTAATCTTAAAAGTCAATGAGGTTTGATTTATCATGCTTTCATGAGTAAAAGTTCAAGGCTTTAATTGAAATAAGTTTAATGGTGAACGTTAAACTTAGGCCCGGTTGCTGAAACACTGATCGTCATAGAAGCCTACTAATCAGCTGTCAAATGGATTTTCAAAGGTGATTGTTAAACTCTTTGAATTGATCATTTTGATCAATAAGAATGTCATTCTGATCAATTCGGAAGGTTTAACAATCCTTTTGCCAACTCAAATAACATTTGAAAAGCCATTTGGCGGCCGATTAGTTGACTTCTACGATTATCAGTGTTTCCGAAACCGGGCATGGCTATTAGAGTTTTGATACAGTTGTTTTTGACGGTCTGTTGCTTAGTCTCCTTTTGTACTTACAAATCATTATATAATTAAAAATAGTAGTTAGTAAATGGGATTTAACAACAATGGGATTTGTTGGAACCAATGTTTTTTCGTTATCATGTGCGTTACGAAACATTTTTGAGAATAATTCACATGTTTTATTCTGGTCAAGTTCATATAAAATATTAAGTTGTGTCGGACATGTCAAACTGTAAACGTAGATTCGATCAATGCTCAGATTGGGGTTTCCTATCAGAATTCAACGAAAATAGGACTCGCAAAGAACACAGAGAGTTTCGGCAGATATGTTTGCCATATTTGATACGATTAATACTAACTCAAATCGAGAAACAAACTCTCAATTTTGTTTGGTTAAAAACTCAATTTTGTGACGATGCCACCAACGGGTTCAACTAGGTACTACGGCATCAAGGTTAGATTTTTAGACTTAAAAAAAATTCAATCGTTAGACTATAAATGATTATTTGAAAGTTTGATGAAAAATTTAAAATATCTTAATATACATTTTTCTACTTGTTTTCCTACTCTTCTACATAAGTTCGTTATTAATTGAGACCTTACACTTTTTAGGTGCTTACAATACAAACTAACAAAATTTTCAGTACCGTTTGTTTCGTGGTAACATAATAGCTCATCGAAAGGTACGAAACAAAAAGAAAATAGGCTGACAAACAGAGCAGATAAAGTTACTAACTGTTTTGCCTTTGCTTATTGCACATTTACAAGCTATGTTGTAGAGTAAATATTTACAATTACTTATACTACTATATTTTTTCAATTGACGAAGCACAGTGGCGCCAACATAATAGTAAAAAGTACTACGTCGTAAGGAGAATGACGAACAATCTAAGTTTACAAAAGTATTGATCTAAATCACTACATAGTATAAAACAAAGTCGTCCCGATGTCTGTCTGTCCCTTTGTATGCTTAGATCTTTAAAATTACGCATCGGATCTTGATGCGGTTTATTTACCGGGTAGAGTGATTCAAGAGGAAGGTTTATATGTATAATACATTGCACCCATGCGAAGCCGGGTCAGGTCGCTATTTAAAAATGTATAGGAAAATGCCAATTAGACAGTCTTCTGCTCTTTTAAATTTTTTATAATAATTTCTGTTGTTAAAAAAAGGATGAAATCTGCAAAATATTTTCATTGAACAATATTTTTTAATAAAAAAATGATATTAGTAATAGAAAATATTGTCAACCGACTGAAGTTTTTTTTATTATGTACTGCTCGACGCTTAAAAATTTTACCGCTTTAATGAGTATGAGATACGAGTATTTAAGTGAATGTGACAAATTTGCAATTTAATTACACCAATTGCGCTAATGGCATATTTATGTATCTATTTTTATATAATATCCTTGTTATTACCTCAGAACTCGTTAGTTATAAACCGATTACCATTTATAAACCTTACATATAAGTATTTTTGGAAAGATCACATTTGAATTTAAATGGTTCCGCAAATATCAATTTTTTGGGAAATTCCCCAAAACCCACTCCTCACAATCGAATAGATATTTTATGTGAATAATTATTTTACAACATATTCAGTTTTCACAATAAGTTCATTATAAATGTAGTTTATTATATATATATATATATAATAAAGTATATTTATATGTATAATAAAGTTTGTCATGTAAATTCTTTTATGTCCATCTTTATTTAGTATTGTTCTTTTTTTAATCGCAGTCTTCTCTTTTGCTGTTTGAACTCTGAATTATAATTTCCTAACCGGTTAGCGGTGATCTTATTGTAAGAGTCAGCCGATCAATTCGTCAATTTATCTCGCAAAGAGATCGATACGTCTGTCATGCATGCTTCCGTGCATGAAATGACATGAATGTTACATTGCGACGTGTTAATATTTCATCTTTGTAATGCTAAAACCATATATAACCTCGTAAGAAGAAAATAAACCATGCCTATTATAAAATGTACCTATCGTAAATATATTATTTTAGTTAAAGTTTTGTGATACATCAATTCTTTATTAACTACTTAGACTATAGTTATTGTGGTCAAGTATCGTTCACTCGTAGCAAGGGTAACAAATCAAATATTCGTTTGGCTACGATTGGGCTATCGAAGAGCTGATATCGTTGGCGTTCATTATCGCGTATCTAAAACTTTCTTTTATTCCGACAATCAAATAAAAGTTAATACAATACGATTAGTTGATTAGAGCATTTCAACTTCTATGTTGAGGTGCCCCTAATAAATCATCGAATAGACGCCATCTTAATAAAATTTATAGTAACAATGAGATCTTTCCTTTGAATCTGTCCTTTAACTCTGATACGGACTTCGTGTGGAAATACAGAATAAAAAATTGTAGTGGAGGAAACCGCCATTGAGTGCTAATGACTATGTCTTTGTCATCAGTAAGACTCTTTTTTTTATGTGAAAAGTTGCCAAGCGAGCAGACGGTTCACCTGATGTTAAGTGAATACTACCGCCCATGGAAATCTGCTACACCCGAGGGTTGCAGATGCATTGACAACCTTTTGAAAATTGGGCTCCGGCCACCTCACTCACCAGACGAAACGCGAAAGTATTATACTTCCACTATACGTCGGTCTTCTGTGAGGTCGTGGTGTCATCAGCACGCGCGGACTGACTGTGACTCTACTAGGCGACTACTCTACGGTGACTCTACTTGGGTGCTGATGCAGTGGGAAGATGGTTGGTTACGTTCTAATCTCTGAACTTTCTGTCACAGGATCTGACCGGTCAGAACAGCAATGACTCTGGCGGCAGTGGTGGCGCGGGGCGCTCGTCGACACCGCACCTGAGGCCGACGCCCAGCCCCACCGGCTCCAGCGGATCACGATCCATGTCACCGGCTGTCGGTGAGTACATTCATACGGAGATATCACACAAATAACCGACATGTTGGAGTCTCTTTCTTGATCTCGATAAAATGATATATATATATATATATATATATATATATATATATATATATTTTGGATGAAATTTGGAGTGACATAGTTAATGCGTCAGATTAGAACAGTAGATTTTCATACTGCTAAAACTATATATACTTCTAAAACTTAAGCAGCGACACTGAAAAGCTGCCGTTTCTACACATAACTGTTGGTGCGTCTTAAGTGTATGTGTAACTTTTTAACGTCTTGTACGAAAAGGTTTTGGCAAGGAGACGGTTTGACCCTATGAGTTAAAACTCTTCCTACTACCTTCCTACTTTTTCTTTATTGCATGATGTTTACGGTCACCAATCCTGGAAAGTTAAAGCTTCATCGTGGTCATCATTATACACGATATGTAAAACGTTTTCACCGACTAGTAGCCCTATCTTAAATAGCTGCTGTGCTGCAAGCTTTTCTAGTCAATGGATATTGTTTAGTACGTTTATATGATAAATGAAATTTTACAAAAAAAATCGAGTCTGTCAATTTAGTCGTATTGACAACGTCAATTGCCCAAGTATGCCTTATCAATTCAAAGATTCAAATTCAAAAGATTACATACTTTATATATTTGAGAATAATGAATCCACCCTACGAATCGTCCAAGACACACTATTGATTTCTATCTGGATGAGCGCAATATTACAAAACCGTTTGTGTGTGTGATCATCATGAATATGTATGAATGGAGCCGGCAACATTAATTGCCGCAATTGAGACGGCGCAACGGCTCCAATGATGAATGATCGTACGCAGCTAAATGTTTGACAGGTCCGAATGGCAGATGAGGAACGTACGTCCCTTGTTTGTATTACGAGGCCTTAGTGCTTTGCGCGGTGCCGTTTTACTTTCGGCAAAAATACACTGTTTTATGTCTTTATTGGTGATGTAGGAGCGTAATGAACTTTTCTTTTGTGCCAGACGATGCGGGGTTCGACCTCCACCACTGGAAAAATATTGAGAGATTAACTATGGATCTTCAACTTAAAATTGTGATTAGGACTATTTTTTGTCTTTAAGTATTTTAAGCAGCTTAAGGTAAAATTAAAGATGTATGTGTGTTCGACTAGATTAGAGCAAATGAGAGGCCAAAGATATGTTAGAATTTAACTCAAAATATGTCACTCTCATTAAAAGACATTGATCTCTGCATCTCTGCAACTTTCGTTCCAATTCGTATTTTCACAGATTTTAGTTGTCATGTTAAAAGATGGTTATAAAAGATTATATAATAATGTCATTGGTTTACAGACTTATTTTTTGTTAGACATTGTGATTTTCGGATTCTTGTTCATAGTTTTCATTTAAATTATCCAAGTGTTCATATAACATCAAAGAAGTTTACGTAAGATGAGTAGATGTATCTAGATTTGCTTTCACAATGATAGATTGATCACGGAGCTATCGAAACTGATTGCCTATGAGATACGTTAAGCATGTTTAATGGTGCCGCGTGTGACCGGTGCGTGTTTTAGAATCGGTCTCGCCGTACAATTGACACGTTCATTATGCGTTAATTGGCAACAAAGCTCGTACGTACTGTGGCGGGGGGTATGATCCAACGAGCCTATTATCGGACACCTTGTATCACGTCTTTATTCCGTGGCTCCCCAAACTAATACGTTTCCTTTCGAATTTCGGCCGCAACGATTGGACATAAGTTTCACATTTCGGCGCACAGTTTGCCCGACCCAAGGTATCTCGATCGGATTCATTGTGCATACTTCGTCACCGGCAGACGCGGGCTTTCCCGACATTGACCCACATAGCGCGGGCGCCCAGAGTACACCGTATTTTGCCCCTTTTGCGGGCGCGAACCACCCCCGTCCTCCCACCTTATGTACGAGTGAGGGGTGGTCGCGGTATATAGGGCCTCGTGAAAAACTTACCCCCACCGGGGTGGGGGCGAGCACGCAAAACAGGATCCGCCACCCCCGAGTGTCGACGCGTCAGTCTTATGTGCCGGACCATCGGTGCATTCGGCAACAAACAATCTTCGGACTTTTCCAAAGCCGTTTCTAAGTTCATTCCATGAAATTTGTTATGGACACGATAAGTAAATAGCCAATATACATATTGCTCTTTGCTCTGTAATTTTTTTTCATTGATCCAAACGTTATCTAATTTGTGAGAGGACGGAACACCTATTTACACTTTCGGCATTGGGGAGTCGTTAAGATAGCAGAGGTAAAAGGAACTTGTGTTGTACCTCGGCTTCGGATATCGAATCGAGGAGAGTTCATTCAATTTAACTTAACTCGCTAAGTGACGTTACGACTTAGGTTAACATATAAATTATACGTCTTTATCCTCTCTTTTACATCCTTCTATTCCAAATAAGCAAACATTTCGCCAATATCCGGAGCACTTTCATGCGTCGCCAACATACGATTAAGACTTCCTGTTATTTGCCTCACTAAAAAAAAGAGTCCAGTTAAATGTCGAGTCTTGGCCGTTCGGAAATGCTGCAGAGAGTTCCGCGTATTGCTCACAGCCGCGGCCAGGTGATAGTTGCGCGGACTCATTTATGAGTCAACAACGTTCTTTCGGCGGCGGTCGGCTGGTGGCTTTAATGGTATATGGTATATTTTATGGTAGGCATCTTGTGTGCGTGTAGGGGTGTAGGGGTGTCACCTGTAGGAACAAGTAGTTTGTCCATCGAGGCGAGCGGGAGTGTGCTTCTTGTCTTAAGTGCTAAGTAGACAGGTAGTCCAGAGCTTCTGGCTTCTAATTTTGAACAGATTGAAAGACTTATCAATAGACATACATTGTGTATAGAAAAGAGTACACATAAGTATTGTACTTTATGTTATACAGCGTGTCGTTACCAACGCGACAATAAATGAACACACATATAGAGGACAACTTTTTAAAATTGTATCAAAAATTAACATTCTTTAAACATCAATATTTACAGAGTTATTAAATTTTCCAAAACAAAGAATTTTAGAACAGCCTTACGTATAAAACTGTAACGTAAAGTTCATTTGTAAAGGTCACAAAGCATATGAATGGGTTGAATGAAATTAAAAGAGACAAAACTTACTTTTAGAAGGAGAGACTTGTAATGCGACACTGTAGCAACGAATGAAAAAGTCTCTGAATATATGAATCAGTCAGTGGTAGTTGTATAGGATGTTACAAATTTTGTTTCTTTTTTACTTAATTAGTTTGTTTGAAAAATATATTTTTTTAATTATGGATTTCTTTTAACGTTAATATTTTTTATTATGATTATTGGCAAGTAGCGTTAAACGTGTGTTAATTTATTGTCGCGATGGTAACGACACGCTGTATATTTATTTTAATAGTGGTCAATGCCATTGTCAAGTTAGTTTTACCTTGGGCATAAAATGTAGGCACGCGCGTAGCTTCTATCACGACAAGCGCAATACTGCAATTTTTAACAGTTAAAAGAATCTGACGTGTCGATCTGTAACATTCTGATACTTTTTTGCACCGCTTAACTGTTCCACGAACTAAAGGCCGTCTCAGATACAGGCCGCCGATTCGTACCGACCAATGTGGGGCGACGGCGGATAAAATTGTCACCGGATTTCTTGATACATTCAAGTCAATTGAGGAAAATTTTCCGTTTTCAGAGCATATCTTTTTTAAGGAAACTTTTTGCCCCACTGCTTTCCGAGGGCTTTCTTATCAATAGTAACTTATAAGGTAATTTCAGTTTTGATAAGCTTCCAACAAAAGTGAAAAATGAGCGTTAAATGCAAATAAATATATATGATAACAACGTGATGTATTCCGACAACTATAGCACTCCGGCTTATGTCTAGATAACATTTCTCAGCGTTGACAGATTTATGCGAAGATCTGTAATTCCCTTGTCGGGGCTTCCCTCGGAATGTCCTTGACGGGCGCACCCGCCGAGGACGCCGCATTCGCCTCTATATACCCATTTACCCACTGTTACGCCGAGCCCCGACAACTATGTACGTACGCATTTACTTTGGCGTTTGATCTTGGAGTGGGGGTCGTGCTGATTCATTCATGAATCTCGAATATTTCAACCACTTCCTAATTGACCCCTTCAACGTTTTTTTTTGTTTAGAATTTTGTTTTTATTGCATGTCGATCGATTGCCTCTGAATTGTTGCATTGGGTAGTCGATGCTCTTTTCACTTATCTACTCATCGTCAGTATGGAGTTAAGGCGTATTCTTTGGTATGTTTTAGAATCGTGGATTTTGCGCAATGAATTATTTAAAACCTTTAACGACTGCTGCGTGAAGAACTTTTTGCAATTTGAATTACAAATTATTATTTCTTTCCACACGTTATCCATCAAATCTTTAACGCATACACGTTTGTATCGCGGTAGGCATGAGCGTTGTGTTCTTTAAATCGTATTTGATTGCTTCAAGAAAGAAAATAAGGAGGCGGTTGTTTTATTTCACGGTAGATTTTTCGTTGAAACAAAAATCAAATTCGCGCGCGTTGTAAATTGAACACGGCATGTGAACGTAACACGCTCTCTGAAGCTCGACCGGAAAGGACTTTTCGCTTTCCCCTCGAATTCCGTGTTTCCGAATAGTTCGTAGCTCGCTCGGTTCGTTAGTGTTCGCCTTAAAAAGGCGTTTCGCCGTTCCGTTTGGGAGCGGGGGGGCCTTTTAACGAACGACCGTGTTTTGTTACCGTCGCCCGATCGCCGAACATTGCTTTCTCAAAACATCGGAGTCCGGGCACTGGGCGAGCGGCGACTGTGCCGCCGCGTCGCAATACCGGTTGTGTGACCGCAATACGCCTTCATTCCGAACCCGCTCACTGTGTCGCCCGTCTCTCTTGCCGCCGTCCAACGCTCCTCGCGCTCGCACCGAAGCCGCGGCTTACAACTCGCGGCCGGCGATGTAGCGCGCGCCTTTTTGAGGTTTCTCGTAATACGACCCCGCGTACCGCCAGAGG